ACGAAAATAAGATCATCCATGTAACGCTTTTTTAAGTTATCCACAATGGCCGCTTCTTGGATCTTAGGTAGAAGAACCATATCTTCCACCCCACTGGCTTTAACATTGCCTTTGCTTTGCCAATGATAGTTTGAAGGCTGGAAAAATATAAAAAGATTCGAGATTCGATTTCACGTCGAATTATTTTGGCTAGCAACGCGAATAAATTCTCATGTTGCGGTACTTACCATCTTGTCGGCTGTAACTGTTAGCTATGGATTAAGAACGAGTTAGAAGAAAGAGGAAGGCAAACTCATCCTCTACACAAAACTTAGAGGTATGTAGGACGCTACCGGAACCTCCTTCGGTTCGGAAGTAGTGATGTTTTTATTTGCCGCGCATGATCATAATTATTCACCATATACGGAGGAACAGGTTTCGAAATCTAACAAGCGCAGCGATTGGTCAAATATTTCCTTACAGCCAATCAGAACGGCGTTCGTAACCACAGCACCTACGGGTTAAAAATAGCGTTGATAGGGATGTCGCCTTGATTTCATGATATTGTCGCTTTTTCACGGTGAATTTTATCGACAAAATTTTAATTAACTCTAAACTTCCAGAAAACTCGCCAGAAATGTAACCACATTGAAATACAACACAAAAAAAATTATTTTGGTAATTTTTGTGTCCGAAAAATCATCCAAAAAGGAACATTTTCTTACACATTTTTACGTTTTGAATTTTCGACAAAAATATTCATTGTCAAAATTGAATGAAATGAAAGTCTTTAATTGTTAGCGAAGATACCTCTTAATTAATGCAAAAATATCCAAAAGATTCTTTGAAAATGATGTCATTCGATAACATGTGAGTTTACAAGTTACAGGTGTGTGCATCGGGGAGAATAGAAAATTAATATAATCCTTAAAACGTGACAAACATGGGGTTCTAAAATTTTTTTGCTTAAAACAATATACCAAAAGCTGAAACAGAGCATGTATATAAAAATTTCATGGGATTGAGAAACCTTTTTTTTATTTTGCTCCAAAATTATTTTATTTAAGAATGGAATCATATTCTGGGATCAAATTTCCGGACCTACAAAAAGTCATTTTTGAAAATTAAAAAATGCTAAAACTTCTACTAAAATCAAAAGTCTGACAAAAGCCACTAACGTACACACAAGCACACACACATTGATTTTGATCAAATTTTCTTCAAATATAGGCAGGTTGAATCACATCCTTTTAAGTGTTTAAAAATCATTCTAAAGTATACTGTCCTACTTCATTTAACTTGTATCACGTATTCGATATTATTGGCTTCGACGCAGAGCTAAGCTTTCGCAACATCAGTTGGAATCTCTTAACAGTGGCCTAATTTCTAATTTACTTTGGCAACTCAGCTAATAAAACAAAAATTTTGATGTGTTTCAGGCCACCACCGACGCATTGTCACGCTCGGATTATATTAGACCAGGAGCCGATTAGACTCTCTTCGAACTTGCCTTTACCCCGCAGAGTGACATCTAGCTACATCTCAGTCCTAGGTGGGTCTGGTTTACTGATGATAAGCCGAAACGCGACTGTATCAATTAAGAAAGTTTTAATCAGATATAACAAGAAAAAGTCCTAGAGGGCTAAGGGAGCCCTTAGCAAAGTTTTTTTGGGTTACGCCCCGAGGTCCAACGTACCCAGTTAGATAATCAGAGTGGCCCGATTCATGTGAGTCGAAGTAAGCAACGTGTTTTGTTGGCTCGTGTGTTCTTTGCAAAGCAACAGAGACTATCAAACAAAAAAAGTGTGCTGAAATAAAACCAGCTTCTCGATCTATAAGTCTCCATATGTTTTTAAAAAACCTATTAATTTTTGTCAAGACGTTTCCAAGAAACACTTCACTGTTAGAAAGCATGCGTAAAAACCAGTTTTATGTTCTTTAATAATTTCATTTTTGTGTTTGTTTTGAATAAAACCTTGCAAAAGATCTCCCTTGAAATTAATAAAGCTTAGTTTATGCCAGATTCACGACAGATTGCTTAAATCGGATAGCGTAAAATTCTGAAAGACGGATCGACAAATGACAGTTATTTATAGACTCGGGGTAAACGGAAACAGTTAAAGCTTATATGACAGCATAAATAGCATTGATAATGACTTCCCCCACAACGAATATATAAAGAACCAAGGTAAGGTCATAGAATCTAATATATTTTTTCTAATGAGATCAACCTCCAGAGTACGTACGTACATGTTTTTAAAATACTTAGGTGATAATTGTTATGAAGATTCATAGACTGACAGCCAGACGCATCAGTCATTGTTCCAAAAATAAGTCACCATATCTGTATTGTATTCCAGTAGGTTGGTGTATGGGGCAGTTCCTGCTTAGCCTGTGAGTAAGCCCTCCGGGACGCTACGTCTCTGGAATTTGAATATGTGTATCGAAAAAGTGGATGCGAACTTGAAATGCTGATTGGCGAAGATGACGTTAGTAATGACGTCATTACCTTTGTCACTTGTTCTACATAGCTCAGTCGACGGGGAGCCATAGGGGAATTGGGGGTGGAATTCAAATTCCAGAGACGTAGTTGCGAGCTCTCCTTCCTTTTCCCGCCCCGCCGACAAAGCGTTCCAGCTGTTTCCACTTTACCTGCGTGCAGACGTCTTCTATTTCCATTGTTTCACGTAGAAAAGGGACTCCGCGTGCAACAAAGGAAATAGAAGACGTCTGCACAATCAGTGGTCGGTTCCGGCAATTCTACTTTTTGCAAAAAACGCGGATAACGAAAATGAAAAAGGCCTAAAAATCAAGATCTTTATTTGTATTCTATACTCAAAACTGAAAAAAGTGCCAGTTTTTGACAGCTGTCGGTCGAGTGCATTCCGCCAAAAGTACCAAACAAAGAAAGGGATCGGGAAAAAGTCGACTTTTTTGGACTTTAAAGAAAGAGGCAAAAAGCTGAAAAAACTCGAGAAATTTCTCTTTCCAGCTTTTTTGCGATTAGTTAGATACAAATAGTACTCAAGAAAGTTGCCTCAATTTATATCGAAGACAAACCCTAAAAATATCCGACTTTTCATGAGAAAAAGGGGCACTTTTCTCAGGTTTTCATAACGGCGAGTGAAAGTTAAAAAAGGTATCCTTTTTTTAGTTTTGAGTGTGCAATACAGAGAAACACCTTGATTTTTAGGCATTTTTCATTTTCGTTATCCGCGTTTTTTGCAAAAAGTAGAATTGCCAGAACCGACCACTGATTCAGCACGCAGGCAATTTCCACTTTGCCCACTTTGATGAAGACCACGACATAGTAGGTCCGCATTTTTTAAAATAATAACAGAATCCGAATTGTTAGTAGTCTCCGAAGATGCTTCAATGAACCCATCCAATGGGCAATATTTAAGCGCTGACCTCCAAATAGACGAGTGGGATATTATTCGAATCACGGAGATGAACCTTTGTTTTTTTTTTGCCCTAGTTTGTTTATTTCTTCATCTCTTTTATTTCATTTTAAAGAAGAACACAAGTTTCGGTGCAGGTTAGATCACTATTCATGCGCACCGCTATTTCCGGGGCGGAAGACGAATCTTTTGAGCTTTTAAGCGTTTTCTTTTCCGCTAGTATTTTTTCTTTAAACAGAGCTGGGTGGCGCGCAGGATACTTATGCAAGGAGAAGGGGGAAGGACGTGGCATCAGGTGCTACAAACAGATTCTACGGTTTAGTGAATTATTTTAAAACTTAAAATTTTCCATGAGACAAAGACGTTCTAACAGTTCCAGTCCACAATATTAATTACTATTTTAATTTCGCGGCTTGCTTTTCCAAGTATTTCAAAACATCTATAGTGAAGATGAGATAGATGTCATCATGTCGACCATCATGTCAAGGATCATACGAAATGTATGCTCAATGCTTCATACAATGCCTCATACAATACAAATTTATTGATCCTTAAAAGTCAAGAAATGGGTTTCAAAAATACTGTCATCATGTGGTCTGTTTAAAGTAAAATCTTCATTAAGCAAACCCCATTTAAAGACGACATCCTGTATAAAGTAGTCATGAATGTCTGTAAGTCCTAAAATTTTCTTCCAGTTTGTTCTGCATAAGAACCCTTTGTTAAGTGAATCCTATATTATCCTATAGTAGCCGGAGACCAAGTTCTTTGATGAGGAAAAAGGGGCAAATAACAGGATGAACAGTGCAAAGAAAAAAAACTGGTGAAAGAAGCAAGCTGAGTGGGGACATGGGAGGCTGAGAGGGAAGGGGAGGCAAAACTTTCCCTTGTCAGTTACCACTGAGTATGTCTCTTTGTCCCTAACTAAGGAGCCCAGTTCCAAGCTGACCGATCCCTTCACTGAGTTGTCTTTTCTTTCAATAATATTCTGTACAAGATCAAAACGTTAGTTGCCCCTACTCATTTCTTAGAGTAGTGTTGGGAAGTTGGTAAATATGACGCAAATGCATCTTGTGTGATCATGTCCTTAATTCTCATGACCACGCTGCTCCATAAAGCATTAATATCACAAGGAGAAATTTCATGTTGATCACTTCAGGACATAAAAGGTATAGGGTGGAGACTAGCAAGTGTCTTGTGAGTGTGTGCTTAATACAGGTTTCTCTGTATAGGGTTTTCTGATGAGGTTCAGATCCCCAGTGGCACTTTTTTATGGAGAAGGGGGGGGGGGGGGGGGGGGGNGAGGAGGTAGTGGGTGTGGGTGGTAGTGGGTAGTTGTGGTGTGGTGTTTTTGTGTGGTTGTGGTTTGTTGGGTGTTGGTGTTGGGGTGGGGTGTGTTCGGTGGGGGGTTGTTTGTGGGGGGGGGGGGGGGGGGGGTGGGGGTGTGGTTGTTGTCTACTTCTTTTCTACCTAGTGCCTACTTTCTTGACCCAAATTTTCTACTTTCTTTAACAGATTCACTTTCCTGAACTTATCAGTTAAAGAACATTGCACTAGTAAAACTTATGGGATGGTGTTCAAACTTCTGAGACACTACTGTAACAAAATGATGGCTGTTATTTATCACTGTTGTTCATCTGATGACTCTTCATATTCACTACTGTCCTCCTCTTCAATTGTTTCACATTCTGTGATGTTAGCAACTTGGCTGGTGACACCTTGTGGGATGACAGGGGGGACATCATTAGGGTCTGGGCCAAGGGAGTTCCCAGACAAAAGTTGTTCTGCAAAAAAAAATCCAAAAATTTACAAAGTGGTCTGTGGGTGGCATAGAGGTATAGATCATAGAGTAAATTATTGAATTGACTAGTGTACTTGGCCATAGTAAGTTTATTATGATAAATTTTAAATATTTGTGAAGCACCTTTTAGAACTGCGGGCTGGGAGACATTTTTACTGCTTGTATTTTTTATCTGAAACACGGTAACCAAGGGTTGTTTTACAAAACAAGAGACCATGGGAACCCAAGGAAAGTCACAAGGTGGAAGGGTGGCTAAAACAGTTCACTTCTTTTTTCTACAGAACAAAGGACTACAAATTTGTTTCTTGCATTTACCTAATTGGAAGTGGTTTCACATCCCAGAGTTTAACAATCATTAAAGTTGTTGGGGAGTAGATCTCAATGGCTATCCCTGATGTACAGATGAAAATTTAAATAATTAGCATTTGGGCTTTTAATCTTTAAAATGTTTAATCACCTTTGTCTATAAGATGAACATCTCCATAAAATTCTTGACACTGCATTGTCTCGGCATCAAAATCAGAAGAACCTCCATAGAGCACAAACTGGTTTCCTACAAGTGTAGCTGTATGCACTCCTCTGGCAGGGGGCTTTATTCCCAATACTGATGGCTGAAGCCATTCACTAGTTGCTAAAGCAGAAACAGTAATGTATCATAAAATATTTATTATCTTTCCTACTGGCAATGGAGATTTTGCCAAAATATTCTGTCTGAAGCTAGTCTGGCAGTTTTCTGGTAACTATCTGGCAACCCGGCAAAACCCATAACTACCAAAAAAGTTATTCACAAGAAGTGCAATATGCTGGCGTTTGTTCCTGTTTCTAAATACAGCTTTCGAAGTTCAGGTATGTGTAGAAGGAAAATTCTGTACGTTTTGGATAAAAAAGTGATACTGAACCACCAGGGATGCAACAATCTCTGGTAGCAATCAAGTGCAGTGATTCTGTTACCTCTGCGGCCTGCGTCCATGATGTATAAAAATCCGCTGCAAAGACACAAAATAATTCATGGGATGCATCCCATAGGACGCAAAGAATAATCGATGGATTTGAAGATTTTTTGGTAGTATATCCTGTTTGTGTGATTTCTGTGGCTGTTGTTTAAAGATGCATATTTATGTTAGTCTTTTTTGTGCTTCTAGTATATAGAAGGACTACATTTTAATTTCAGTAAACTGTAATAAAGAGTTTTGGCCTCTGTCTCCAGATTAACTGTCTGGTTACACGAAGGCCCAAGCATTTTCAATTTAGGAGTCCTTGTTTTTTTGAACTGGGTATGGACAGGGACTCGTGATTTTTCACAAGATGAGTCCCAGGACTCACTATAACTATTTGTAACAAAATCACGGCAAGTGGTGGCCTTACCATGCCAATATGGTTTAAGCATCCTAAATCTAAATCTAAATCTAAATCTAAATTCAAATGAACCATTGTGTTTACATACCTACATCAAATATATGCAAATCATTGAAATGTGCATTCTCTGAACTTCTTCCTCCAAAAACAACTACTCTGTTGCCGACAGCAGTACATGTGTGAAAAGAACGAGGCTCTGGTTGTCGTCCTGTGGTTGGTGTTGGGATCCACTCCATTGTTTCTAAAAATTATTAAATTCCAAATGTCAATGCTACTTGAGAGAAAATTATTATTGAAATAACCCATTCAACCTAAATTTGAAGAATCAGGATTTATATAGAAAGAAAATCTAGTTGTTTCATTTTAATTTACATTTTCAACAGGGTGGTCCAATCAGCTTTAAGGCTGGTATCCATAGGGGCCCTGTATTTTACAAATAATACTTAACAAAAGGAATTAAAGAATTATTTGACATTGTTTAAAAAAACATACATTTTAAATAATCTATCTTACAATAAAAATTTCAACTAAAGGAAACATCACTAAAGGTTATGATAAGAAAAAAAGATCTTGGTTGGTGGCAAAAACAATTCTGGACCCAAGCCCATCCATTAAGTTATTTCCACTGAAATTCTTTCAGGGTGACAGTGCCCAAATGTTCCAGGATTGCTTAGGCCCCTTTTGAATGGATCAACAGCCTAGTTTTACAAAATATGTCTGCCATGCTTTCATGACATACATGTAGGTTACCTAGCCTTAGATTGTCCCAGATTTCATATTGTACCTGAAAGTGGTCCTCATGAACCGCCTACTAAGTATACTAGGCCCCACACAACTTAAAACGACTTGCAAATATCACTTAATTTACAAGTGCGTCAACTGATAATGAGTGAAAACTTTATTTCAATCACCTGTATCCAAAATAAAGAGATCATTCTTCCTGCCAACACTGTCTCTGCCTCCAAAGATAATAATTCTGGATCCAACAGCACACATTCCATGAGCTGCTCTAGGTGTTGGGCACCCAGTAAATGGAGGGGATAGTTTTTCCCATGTACAGTTCTCTGAAAAATATTGTTAATATTCGTAAGAGTAAAAATCTAATAAAAGACACCCACTCCAAACTAATAACAGGGACCAAATTAAAAGTTGAATTGACTTCCTCACAAAAGAACTATTATTGCTTGAATGTCAATTCAGTTTATAGCTGCAGACTTGTCATTTAAATGTTTACCGATAAACCTTCGAATCAACTTTGAAGACTGACCTCCACCTGATCCCCTTTNTCACCTGTATCCAAAATAAAGAGATCATTCTTCCTGCCAACACTGTCTCTGCCTCCAAAGATAATAATTCTGGATCCAACAGCACACATTCCATGAGCTGCTCTAGGTGTTGGGCACCCAGTAAATGGAGGGGATAGTTTTTCCCATGTACAGTTCTCTGAAAAATATTGTTAATATTCGTAAGAGTAAAAATCTAATAAAAGACACCCACTCCAAACTAATAACAGGGACCAAATTAAAAGTTGAATTGACTTCCTCACAAAAGAACTATTATTGCTTGAATGTCAATTCAGTTTATAGCTGCAGACTTGTCATTTAAATGTTTACCGATAAACCTTCGAATCAACTTTGAAGACTGACCTCCACCTGATCCCCTTTGGCACCCATCTCTACCCCACAAAAATTTTACTGAGTGTCTGTGGGGTAAAAAATTGTATATGTCTGGAATATCAATTCTGTTTGATTTAGGAGAGAAAAATATGGAAAAAACAACTGGAGATTTGACAACGACAGCTATTCATTATTTTTCTACCCGAGAAGCTGGGTGTAACATTTTTTATAACCAGGCATAATCCATCAGGCCCTAAGCAACCAGTGACAGATCCAGGGGAGGGGCCCAGGCCCCCCTTATTTGTAGACCAAACTGAGGCCTGAAAGACCAGGCTTCCCCCTTATCTCAGGGTCTGGATGACTGCCCCACCCCCCCTTATCTGAAGGTCTGGATCTGCCATTGGTGACAGCATTGATATTCTGGAATTCTTGCATTAGTGCCCAGGAAAGATCTATCCTACTGTAACAAAATTTATGTGCATACCAGTATCAAAACTGAAGAGATCATTGAACCACCCAAACGCTGCTCCTTCTTGATCTTCAGTTTCTGCATCCTCCAAAGGGCCAAATCCGCCAAAAAAGAAAATCTTGGTTCCTTTTGCAACAGATGTTAACTTGTCACGCGGGGATGGAGGAACACCAATGCATTCAATTTTTTCCCACTGCTTTGTTTCTGAAGTAAAAAAAGCAAAGTATAGGGATTTACAATGTAACCATTAAAGGGGATTGACTATTTTTGATTTCCACTCCTTTACATTTTGCCACATGGGTACTAGCTCAACCCTACATACGTATAGATAAATAATTACTCTTATTTACACCTTTCGATTGTTGGTGAAAAAGTCAAAGTAAAAAAATACATATTTAAAGCACTAAGTCACTGCATTTAGATGTTTTCAGCTGCAAAAATATTGTTTAACATCTGTCCCCCATTCAATATTCAAATCAAAATTGGCAGAAGACAAACCAGTTGGCTCATTACAAAATTAATTTGGTGACAAAAAGGAACTGAATCAGTCTATAATGAAACACCCTAAGTTTGTGATTGATGACAGTGGCATGTAGGACCTCAGCACAGCACACCTCTGTTATGGTCCACTTAGCAGAAGGTCACTGGATCGACAACAAGGGTCCTAAAATCAAACCTTATAGGATCATGCTAGTGGTAATAGGCCTTTGTCTTTACAGTACATATGATGCTGTGTCACTATGCAGTGTTGTATGATGCTTGGCCTTGCCTCCCTTATCCTTACCTGGTCAATTATAATTGACTGGGAATGGGAAGAGCGACAGGCCTCGACCTTAATAGTAGCATCACCCAACTTCATTGAATTAGAAGTTTGTGGAAAAAGACTGATACACGTACATTACATATACACGTACATTTTTGTAACGAGCCTTCTTCAGGCTCACTGATGTCATGTGTTTAAATAAAGATTATCCTATCTTAGGCAGACATAAAAGGTCTAAGCTATAATATATGATCTCCCTAATATTTTTTTGCCAGTCTGTTAAAACTAATTCAAACAATTTCTAAGTCTCCTGCCACATTAAGTGTACTAATGCTCACCTGTATCAAGAGCATACAGATCATTAAACCATCCACTGTCTCTGCTAAGTCCACCAAAAACATACAGTTTCTTTCCAACAGCCGCCATTGCAGCAGAAGACCTGGCTGATGGCAACTCACCACCAGTTACAATCTTGCTCAAAGACTGTGAATCTAGGGGGGAAAGCAAAGATGTATTTGCTTTAAATGCATTGTTGGTTGCTATAGTATGGTTTCTACATTTCGCTGATAAGCTAAAACTAAAAACCTCACGGCAAAACCAAATACTTCACAGCAAAAACAAAATAGCTTTGGTTTTGCCGTGAGGTATTTGGTTTTTGCTGTGAAGTATTTGGTTTTTGCTGTGAAGTATTTGGTTTTTGCTGTGAAGTATTTGGTTTTGCCGTGAGGTCTTTGGTTTTGCCGTGAGGGTTTTGGTTTTGTCGTGAGGTATTTTGTTTTTGCCGTGAGGTTTTCGGTTTTGCCGTAAGGTATTTTGTTTTTGCCGTGAGGTTTTTAGTTTTGCCGTGACAGTTGTGGGCCACCGTAGTATACACTGTAGTGCATTTTACTGCATATACTTACACCCAAGGAAATGATCAGCACATAAAAAAGGTTATAACAGGACATAAAGCCTACCTTATTTGCATCGATTAAAATCGACCGTGTCATGCAGACACAGATCAAAACAACAATTTTCACGTAAGTTACAATTATTTTAATTGTTAAAACAGCTTACCAACATCGAAANGGTTTTGCCGTAAGGTATTTTGTTTTTGCCGTGAGGTTTTTAGTTTTGCCGTGACAGTTGTGGGCCACCGTAGTATACACTGTAGTGCATTTTACTGCATATACTTACACCCAAGGAAATGATCAGCACATAAAAAAGGTTATAACAGGACATAAAGCCTACCTTATTTGCATCGATTAAAATCGACCGTGTCATGCAGACACAGATCAAAACAACAATTTTCACGTAAGTTACAATTATTTTAATTGTTAAAACAGCTTACCAACATCGAAAACGAGTATCTCGTTCGATTCTGTTGATTCGGAGATATCGGAAAGCCAGCGAACTCCTCCGAAAACGTAAAGTTTATTTGCCATCGCCGCTGCACAATGGCCGTCTCGAGATGGCAATTTGGCCTGCGTTTCCACATTCTTCCATTCAACCTTTATATCGTTCAAAAGCTTTGTTCCATAGGTAACCGACGATTCATTTCCCATTTTAGCTTGTGTTATATGTAGAAGGGAGACTAAAAGTTGAAATGTAGGCCTGAAAAACACAGCAAATGCTTTTAACTTGGAGCTTCGATGATCTGTTCTTTGACCGCGCGCGAACTTCAGATTTTGGCGGGAAGAAGCATCAAAAGTCGATAACCCCAGCTGTCCAATCACAGCTCGCAAACGTAAATCGATAGTTTCAACATGGCGGAAACGGACAGTGGAAAGACTGCTGAGGAAAGAATACCTTTCAATTATTTCAAGAAAATCCCGAAAATCGTAAGTATTTTAGTAGGAAGATTTCTTACCCATATTTACCACAGATCAAAGGATAGTTTCCTCGAAGGGCGCAGTTTCTGCTAATTTTAATCCATCGATCGATTCATTTTAGCCATGTTTTAGCTGACTTCAGCGAAGATTCAAAGGCGAACACACTTTCTTGTAGATGATCAGCTCTTCAGGAAAATGATTTTATCATCTAAACTCAACATTAACCTTCACCTACTAACTAAAATTTCTCGTCCAGCTCATATCCCAAAGGAATATCTTACTTTGTATTAGCCGTGTGAAATAAGCTTAAATTATGATCAAGAAACTTATAAAGAACATAAGAATTAAGCTTAAATTTCTTCTAATTTCAGGAACTTCATGCTCATATTAATGGATCTATAAGCTCAGAGACGATCAAGAAGCTCATTCAAAGAAAGTCCACAAAGGAAAAAGGCCAGAACAATGTAGTGTCACAATGGGAAACAACCATTCTGAAAGGCGACGAGAAAAATCTCGACGAGTGAGTCTTGACCACTACAATATTTCTGGGCCTTGACCAATATATTTGTCATTAGGGACCTTAAGATTTGAGGACGTCCTCCGTGTAGAACGCGACCGGAAGTTAAGATGAGCCTCTTGCGAGTATTGCGCATGACCATTCTTGGCTGGGACCGCGTTCAATCTCTGAACAGAACGCCATGTTTTGATTTTAGCGTCGTGAGTGGAACGTGAGTAGACTTTACCTGAAATTTTCATAAAATTGCACTTTCATTTGCCGATTTTTGTCACTTTTGTAATTCAGAACATATCTTCTTACTTTTGGTACGCCTCTCTTTTTTCCACAGGTGCAAAGAAGTGAGAAAACGCTAACAAATCACTCTGTTCAATGGCCTCGTGCGTATCCGGGATGTCAGAGTAAGGATTTTCCTTCACATGTTTTTCATATTTTTTCACACTTGTTTGAGGGTAGTGATAACGTACTTGACAGAATCGACAACTGTGTGTATTTTAATGTTTTCAGGGACTGAAGGCGAATTTTGTTTAATTCAGGGGGAAATTCATTTATGTTCGATTCTCAAACACGACCTAAACAGTTCAAAAACGTGAAGTTTGAGTGACATCGAAAAAATAAAAGGTTTACGAGCATCAAGCAACTTTTATGTCACCGAAACTTTATGAAAGCTTTTGCATGGCTTCCCGAAAGTTTTTATCTTACTGTTTTTCAACCGTGTCAGCATAACTTACAGTCTTCAATTGCCAATTTGCCTTCAGTTCCATTCTAACCATTTTGCTTGTTGTTATCATTCATTTGTAATTCACCTGCCCTCCACTGACTATGGATTATCCTTAAGTTTAACTGGCTGTATTTTATTATACTCAGAATAATTTGTTCAAAACTTTGTTTACTTTTAAAATTGACCACCATGCTGTCTGACAAAAAATTGATTTCTTTCATGCTTCATAGACAGTCTTTATAGTTTTGATCAGAAAAGAGAAATAAACTTGGATCAATTGATGTGAAAAAAAATTATGGAAATGTAGAGAAATTTACACATCAACCAACCCTGAGACTCTCTTTAAAAAGTGACGGTTGGTATTGAACAAGCTGGTTTTCAGTGGCAGTGAATACATGTTGTAGGTAAAAATGAATCCAGGTTAAAATGATTTCAACCTAGGTTGATTTGTATTTTTCTTTGTTAAGGTGGGTAATTTACATCTAAAACAAAGGAAAATACAAATCAACCTAGGTTGAAATCATTTTAACCTGGGGTTCATTTTAACCTACAACATACACACCTTTTTTTTTTTT